TAATTAAAAATAAATTAAAAAAATTGAAGTGCCATCGTTTTACTATCTTGCTTAATGTTTGAAAATATAGGATTTCCCCACCGGTTGTAGTCACCGCAGCTCTCCCGCCACCATGGAAGCATCCATAATTTTCCACCATGGTCTATTGTGATTTCTCCCCACATTGTGGGTCTCTTTCTCTCTTCTCCTCCATATGCCTCATATCTGTGGTCAGCTTTCAAGGGTTATAACAAGTAATTAAACTAGAGATGCAATTTATTTCATAGATAGCATTACTTGTGTCAAGGGCACCGGAACATGTTAAAAGCGTATGCCTTTTTCTCAAGATCCTGATTTCTATTAGATTTGGACAGTAAAGTATTTTAAATAAAATATCTTTTAATAAGTAGTTATGAATCTTTGGCCAACAAGTATAGAATTCAGTTTTTAGACTTACAAGAATTCCCTCTAGTTGCACACATCAAATTTAAGTTTCAGGAAATGTTAGAAATAAACCATCACTAGATGGCAGTCTTTCCCTAGTTTTAGATGCTTATACAGCAGGCTAGGTAGGGGAAAGCCATTCTTTGTTCCAGGATAATATTGACTACAAATATTAGATTAACTTCAGTAGTCATATGACCTTTCCAGAATTTAAGAGTAGGTTTTCTTTTTAGCATTTTATATCTTGGTTATATTATATCTTGGATATGTTGGTTACAGTAAGGCGGAGATGTCATTGAAATGCTTATTCAATTTGAATAGGTAGGTAGTGAACTGTAATTGCTTTATTCCTATGGTCAGTGATTTAAAACAAAACTTAAAATCAGTGGTATTTAACCTCTGTGATAACCAGATGGAAACTATGGATCAGTTCCCCTTAAAAATACATGCTTCTGCTTGTACACATATTTATATGTCCACATAAAATCCAGGAATTGTGGATTTCCTGATGCATATTCATGGGACACAAATTCCTGTCCAAAATCCCTGTTTTTAATTCTTTTGAGCTCCCTGTCCAGAAATCCCTATTTTAAATATGTGGCGTTTACATTTTATTCTGTTTAAATTCTCAAGATACCCAGGGGAACCATTTTATTTATTTATTTATTTATTTATTTTTAATAAATTTTATTTTTATATTCCCCATACAATTGCAACCCCCTTATTTTGACCCCAATCCCTCCCCTCCCCGCACCCCACCCCTCATAGAGTGTCTCTGGTTCATGGTTTTTTGTTGATTTTGATTTTCACTTTCTTATAGTTATTCATTTTCCTGGTCCCTTATTTAAGTTTTCTAGATTCCTGCTATGAGTGAGACCATCTGGTATTTTTCTTTTTCTTTCTGGCTTATTTCGCTGAGCATGATCCCTTCCAGCGCCATCCATGTTGCTGCAAATTGCATGTGTTTATCTTTTTTGAATGCTGAGTAATATTCCATGGTGTATATGGACCACATCTTCTTGATCCAGTCATCTATTTTTGGGCATTTGGGTTGTTTCCAAAGCTTAGCTATTGTAAATAGTGCTGCTATAAACATAGGGGTGCAGGTGCTCTTTGGAATTGATGTTTCTGTGTCCTTTGGGCAAATACCTAGGAGTGGAATTGCTGGATCATATGGAAGCTCTATGTTTAATAGGTCCAGAAATCTCCACACAGCTCTCCATAGTGGTTGGACCAGTTTGCACTCCCACCAGCAGTGCAGGAGAGTTCCTTTTTCTCCACATCCTCGCCAACATTTGTTGTTGCTAGTTTTTTTAATATGTGCCATTCTCACTGGTGTAAGATGGTATCTCATTGTCGTTTTGATTTGCATTTCCCTGATGACAAGTGATGTTGAACATTTTTTCATATGCCTGTTGGCCATTTTCATTTCCTCTTCAGAGAAGTTTCTTTTCAGCTCTTCTGCCCATTTTTGACAGGATTATCTTCTTTGTTGTTGTTGAGTCTCATCAGCTCTTTGCAGATTTTTGTGATCAGTCCTTTATCATTAGTGTTGGGTGCAAAAATGTTCTCCCAGTCGGTGGGGTTTCTCTTTGTTTTTGTTATTGTCTCTTTTGCTGTGCAGAAGCTCTTTAATTTGATGTAGTCCCAGCTATTTATCTTTGCCTTCACTAACACTGCTTTGGGTGATGTGTCTGTAAAGATGTCTTTGATGTGCATATCACGTAGTGTTTCGCCTATATTTCCTTCTATGTATTTTATGGTTTCAGGTCTTTTTTTTTTTTTTTTTTTTTTTTTTTTTTTTTATAGAGGCATGCTTTATTTATTTAATTTATTTATTTATTTTGTTTGTTTGTTTATACATGCACTGGGTACAGTCAGAAGCGCGGGAGGGTGAGAGAATTCACCAGATCCAGAGCAGGGAGCAGAGCAGGCAGAAGGACCGAAGTACACTGCTGAGGGGAGCAGCGGGCGGCAGGAGAGGTCTGCGCGCCATGTGGAACCCTCCTCCGGTGGCCTGGGAGCAGCCGGGGATCGAACCGGCTCCGCGGAGGCTGCGGGCAGCTTCGCAACCCAGCGCTCAACCGCTGCGCCACCGGGGAGGCCCTGGTTTCAGGTCTTATGTCTAGTTCTTTAATCCATTTTGAGTTGATTTTTGTGTATGGTGTGAGGTAGTGGTCAAGCTTCATTCTTTTGCATGTAGCGACAGGGGAACCATTTTAAATCTTCTGTGTAATTCACCATCATCATTATTAAATAGATTATTGTAATGATAATAACCCTCAGATAGGAGAAACAGTTGGGGACTAGTGATCAGGATGTGGAGAATTCATTCTGTTTTTGAACTACCTGTTTACATTATTATAAAAGCATGTAATCTTTATGCTATTACTTAATGAACTTGAGGGAGGAAGTACATTGTAGAAATTTAGAGTGAGGCTGATACTTAAGAAGATTTGTAATTGATTGTTTCCTATTTTCTCTTTTGTTAAGGCAACATTAATTTATAACTCTGCATATGATTTAGAGGTATAGGATCACACCCTTTAAGTATGTTACACACCACACCCTCCATCAAGGTATCCATAGTCCTCCACTCCTCCCTACTCTGCTCTTCTCTTCTCCATCCCCCTCTGGTAACCTCAATTCTACAGTCAGATTTCTGGGGTTTGTTATTGGTTTGGTTGTATCTGGTCCTTTATTTTGTTTCTCTATATTCTAAATATAAATGACAACATCTGCTGTTTGTCTTTCTCCTTCTGACTTGTTTTGCATAGCATAATCCCCTCCAGTTCTATCCATGTTGTTATAAATGACAAAAGTTTCTCTGTTTTTTTTCTAGCTAAGTGGTACTCCATTATGTATTTATACCACATCTTTCTAATCCACTCATAGTGGATACTTATGTTGTTTTGAACATAGGAGTGTATACTTCTCTTTGAATTACTGTTTTTGGATTCTTCAAGTAAATACTTAAGAATGGAATTGCTGTATCATACAGTAGGTCTATTTTTAATGTTTTTGGGAATATCCATACTGTTTTCCATAGGGGCTGGACCAATAATGGAAGAGGATTCCTTTTTCTCCAAATCCTTGTCAACACTTGTTTCTTCTGTTCTTTTCAATGTGGGCCATTCTCAGAGTTGTGGAGTGGTATCTCACTGTGGTTTTGATGCCTTTTCCTGATGATAAGTAATAATGAACATTTTTCATGTGCCTGTATGTGTTCTTTGAGAAGTGCCTATTTAGCTCTTCTGCCTATTTTTTGGTTGGGTTATTTATTAGTTGTATAACTTTGAGACCTTGGCAATCAATCCCTTGTTAGATAAATGATAAGCAAACATTTTTTCCCATTTAGTAGATGTCATTTTCTTTCACTTTCTTTCATTGTGCAGAGATTTTTAGTTTGATATAAGCAATTGTTCATATTCTCTTTTATTTCTCTTGCTTTTGGAGACAAATCCACAAAGACATTACTGAAGCCTATGTTATAGAATGTTTTCCCTATGTTTTCTTACAAGTTTTTTTTTTTAATCCATTTTGAGTTAATTTTTGTGTATGGTGTGAGATAGTGGTTTGTTTCTAGAAAATGTTTTTACATATGCCTGTCCAGTTTCTCCAACACCATTTATTTAAGGAGACTTCCTTTTCCTGCAATGTATACTCATGGCTTCTTTTATTTTTCTCATTCTCCAGGTTTGGGAAGTTTACCTTCACTATTTCTTTGAATAAGTTTTATGTTCTCTCTCTCTTCCCCTTCTGGAATACCCATTTTCTTATATTGCCTTTCCTCATATTTCTCTTTCTTCTCCCACTTGGATTCTTTGTATATTTCCATTGTGGAGGTCACAAGGAAGATTGACTATAGATAAGAGCTTGAAATGCTTTCTGCATTGTTATAGGAAAGTGGACAGAGTAGGTGATACAGATTAAGTAGCTTGATTGATCTTAGTGGGAGAGGAGGAAAGGTAGGCCAGTTTTCTTTTTTCTCTTGAGAAGTATATAGTCATGTTAGAGTAAACAGTTGAGGAGAGGCAAAAGTAAGGTTCTTACACATAGTTATTTTAGAGACTAAGAAAAGATTTTTGGAGTGGCAGTGGAGGGGGATAGTTTTGGTAGTATTATGTAGTGTTATTGAGTACCCAGTTTAGATTTTTAGTTCCATAACAAAACTGAATCTACAGCACAGCTATGTAATATTTCTTCAGCAGTTTAGCTTCTTGGTATAGTTATGTAATAATTGGATGGTTGGGTTCATTCAAAATTGAGTTTTTTGAACTCAATTTGGCTAAAAAGGCACAAAGGAGTTTTAATTCAGGCCTTTCATTTCATGAGACCCCCTATGATAAATATCAGTAAGCGTTAAAATATTTTTGAATGAATAAAGAAGCAAAATGTTTGGTTTTCCTAAAACCAAAATTCATCTGACATGAGGACAATATTAACACAATTGGATGACTCTGTGGCTTATGCCCCAGATCTATCTATTTTCCAAATACATTTGCTTCTGGGTTTGTAATTCTGTTTCTATTTGTTAGAAGTAAATCTGGTGTGATCTTTATGCCTTTTTTTTAAAGGTCTGTCTATGATGGTGAGGAACATGGACGATTCATGGAGAAGCTCGAAACTCGCATTCGCAATCATGACCGAGAAATTGAGAAAATGTGCAACTTTCATTACCAGGGTTTTGTGGACTCTATAACTGAACTGCTGAAAGTGAGAGGAGAAGCACAGAAACTCAAAGTAAGGAGACTTTAAGAGGGACTCGTTTCTCCACCCTGTGCTAGGATTTTGATTAGCATTAAAGGAGTGGAATACATTGCAGGTTACATATTTATCGTCATGACTTTTTGTATAGTTAGGAAGGAATTTATATTGAAACATAAATAATTGGGATTATGGCGTTTATCTAAAAGAATGCCCTTTTAAGTTAAAATTTATTTTGGGTAATTACATGTGAATGAGAACCAGTAACAAAATCAGTAAAATTTACTTTTAAACAGAAACTTGGTTTACTTTTCATGTACATCTATCTATTTCCTTGCTAGGTAAAAGCCATCACTGTAAGATGATGGAATTTTAAGATATTTCTATAGAAGTCTTTGTAGCATGGCAACCTAAGCCAAAGGAAAATATCACTGATGGTGTGAGCTGGAATATATTCTACCAGAATATAAGGGTTCTTCTTTAGTATGACAGATTCAAGTTCAGGGAGGAGGGTAGCCATTTTGGTCTGGTCCCTGGCACAGCAAATTCACTTACCTTGGATAACCACTTTGCTTATTGAACTTAAACCTCACTACTTCACTAATCTTCTCTTTTATTTCTAATAATTTGTGTGTAGATTATTTTTTATTTCTTATGTAAATACATGAGCTGTTAAGTAATAAAAAGTTATTTCCTTTCCAGTCTTTATGCTTCTGTTTTCTTTTTCCTTTTACTCTTTCTTCTTTCCCACGTCCCTCTTCCTTCTCTTCCCCCCCCCCTTTTTTTTTGGTCTTATTGGAATTTTAATTAAAATCCCATGGGGAGAACTTGACAGTGAGTGTAAAATTCCTATAAAATATACATTGGTAAGAAAAGCACAGGAACAGTTTTTCTGAGGGGAGAACTAGGCTATCAGATCATAAATTATATTCTAAAGCTATAGTGATTTGAAGTCTAATTTGACTGCAAAGCCTTATCTGAATGAATATGAAGCTATCAAACTTCTTAATACATTTTGTATGTAAAGATGTTTGCATTTTGCTATAGAAATATTAATGGGTTTGGGGGCCTCCCCGGTGGCGCAGCGGTTGAGCGCTGGGTTGCGAAGCTGCCTGCAGCCTCTGCAGCCGGTTCGATCCCCGGCTGCTCCCCGGCCACCGGAGGAGGGTCCCACATGGCGGCAGACCTCTCCTGCCGCCCGCTGCTCCCCTCAGCAGTGTACTTCGGTCCTTCTGCCTGCTCTGCTCCCCGCTCTGGCTCTGGTGAATCCTCTCACCCTCCCACGCTTCTGACTGTACCCAGTGCATGTATAAACCAAACAAACAAACAAATAATAAATAAATAAATAAGACATGCCTCTAGGAAAAAAAAAAAAAAAAAAAAAAAAGAAATATTAATGGGTTTGATTATGAATGTTGTCCTAGTACCTAGTACTGTCTAGTACCTTTGGAAGATATAATGTGATAAACACTTTATACCATATTAGTTTTATAGAATTTCTGAAATTGTGACGTCTGAAGTATGTTGGGTCTCAAGGTTTCAAATAAAGAGTTTATGGACATGTATAACAACTGCCCAACATTTTAAGATATATAGTATTGCCAACACATTTATGCTTCCTCTTGCTCATTGGCCTATATATTTGGAATGCTGAATTTTGGTGGGGGTGTTAAATGGCTTGAAATGGCCAAGAGTATCTGAAATGTATAAAAATAAAGATATGGGCTTCCTGCCAGGAGCTGTTTGTCCTCACCCCGTCATCCCATCTTCCCATCCTCACTTTGGACTGTTCTTTTCTGTGCTTTTCGGATATCTTTATTCCAAACTTCTCAGCTCCCTGGGCCCCTTCTCTGTGATGGGCAGTAGGATGATCTGTCTTTGGTTACTGAAGTAGCCAAGTGGTGGAGTGCTTCCAGGTAGCCCTGAATAGTGCCCGTAATGTTCACCAGTTGCTGATAGCACTTGTAGGTTGGTACTCATCTTTTCCTCTTCTTCCCTTCCAATTGTTTCAGGTTGCAAATTCCTTTAAATTGTTCAGGATGCCCCTGAGGACGAGAGATTACCAACGGAGGGATTTTAGCTACTTAAGTTCCATCCACGTTGAGAGCCTAGCAGTACACCTGGAGGGTCTGGTCTAGGGGAATCCCTAGATTCTGCATTAAAAAACTATGAAATGTAGAGTTTTCTGAACTCTAGAAAAGAGTTTATAAAATGGGAAAGTGTTAACTACTGTCAGTACTATTTTAATCTACAATAATAGGAAATAACACATTCTAGCATGGCCACTTCTTTTGATTCACAGTATATCTGTAGCTTCATGCTCTCTGAATCAAGAGAAGTAGTATCCTAGACGGGCAGTAAAATTTCTTCTTATTGGTTATATAAAATAGTATTGAAATAGTAATTAATCTTTCTTATCAGAACATTGTTTAGGCTTTTATGGGTGTGTTTTAGACTGTAATTTGCATGAATTAATTTTTGTGCAAATTTATCAGTGTGTTTAAAAAAAAAGCTGAAGTGAAATAGTGAAATAGAAAAGGTCAGGGTATTACATGTAGTAAGGGTAAGCACTGGTTCCTGAAAATCTTTCAGGGGTGTGTGTGTGTGTGTGTGTGTGTGAGTGTGTATTCCTGATACTTGTGTACTGGGTTGCAATATACAATGTTTATCTTGCAATCCAAGTTTCAGAAATGGTGTCTTTATAAGGTAACAGATATTCTAAACTGGTAGAGATAATAATGCCGAATTTAGTAGTATTTATGGAAGGTTACATTTGATGAGAACTCCAGTTTAGAATAAAAAATATTATTCTTGCATAAGTGAGGTGAAGGGGAGAGCACTACCATTTAGAGCAACCTACTCCATTTTTTATTTCACATTGCTTGAAAGCTTTTTCTTATATTGAGCTATAATTAATCCTGTTTTCTAGTAACGTTCATTTTTTTGCTTGATTAATACACTTTATTTCTAGGTCTCCACCTTTCTTCCCATAATTCTTGAGGTATTTGAAGGATAGCTGTAGTTCAGTTGTGGTATATGCATTTAGTGTTCAGTATATAGTGTCTCCAAATGAATTTTTTTCTTTTCTTTGAGCTGAAAATTGCTTTCTCTTGTTTTTCATGTGCTATTGCTTTGAGTTCCTCTTCAAGTGTATTCATAGCTCAGTATTCATAGCTTCAGTTTTTCAATAGCCTTCCTAAAATGAGACAGCCGAACATGATTCTCATAGTATGTTCTTAAACTACTATATTCTAGACCAAGGATCAAAAAATTACGTAGTATAGACCAAGTCCAACTTACCTTATATTTTTGTAAATATTTTATTGGAACACAGCAATGTCCATTCAATTACATTATGTTTATAGCTGCATTCTTGCTATAATGGCAGAGTTGATATGTTGCAATATATAGACTATCTGGCCCTTTACAGAAATGGTTTGCTGACCCCATTTTTAGATAATGCTTCGTTAATGTTGTCTTAGTTCACTATTTTGGATAGCTATGTCAACACTCACAGTTCATATTGAGCTTATCCAATAAAACTAAGTGTTTCACATCTGGTGCTATTAAATAAAAAATTAATAAAGAGAATTAAGGGTTTCTTGCTTCTCTGTTTGATACTTTATAAGACTTCCTGAAGAAGGTCAGTTTTCATTTTGTCTTTGAAAGAAGGGTATATGTGATATATATATCACTGTGATATATATATCTGCTGTGAAAATAATAGTCCAGGTATAGTGTATCATTTGGGGCAAAGTTTTCAAATTTATGTTCCTGAAAAACTAGTTTCTTCATATAATCCTTAATAAAAGGGTGTTATGTTAAATGAGTTTGGAAAACACTTTGCATGATTTCCCTTTCTTAGACATTCATGCAACATGTACAATATTAAAGGCTGCAAGATGTCCTGAATAAACTGACCTGTTCAGTGTTAGTTCCCATACATATTGTGTGTGTGTATGTGTGTGTGTGTGAGTGTGTATACTTGTGTGCATATGCAGAGTACCTATTAATATTCTTGATGTTCTCACAGACATAATCAGAAATGCTGGGTTACTGGGTTGCCTTAAAAATGTAAAGAGCAGGGCCTCCCCGGTGGCGCAGCGGTTGAGCGCTGGGTTGCGAAGCTTCCCGCAGCCTCCGCAGTGCCGGTTAGATCCCTGGCTGCTCCCTGGCCACCGGAGGAGGGTCCCACATGGCGCGCAGACCTCTCTTGCTGCCCGCTGCTCCCCTCAGCAGTGTACTTTGGTCCTTCTGCTTGTTCTGCTCCCTGCTCTGGTGAATTCTCTCACCCTCCGTGCTTCTGACTGTACCCAGTGTTTGTATGAATAAATAAAAAATATAATCTTAAAAAAAAAAAGTAAAGAGCAAAAAAAAAATATAAGGAGTGGCACTTATTGGTGAGAGTTAGAAATTATCTTTTAAAGAAAGTTTTAGAATATAATATTGCTCATGTTTTGACATGTCTAATATGATGAGGACATTACTATTCTATGTGCTTAATTTTGTAAGTATTAATGGTGTCTTCAAAAATCATTCTCAAAAAAGGTAGTGCCAGTTCCCTTAAATTATGAACTCTAGATTTTAAGACTTGCTCATGGTCTTGAATACTTGGTAGAGATTAATGTAGAAACATGGGGATATGGAAGTATTAGGAGATATTGAAAATTAATAATACAAAAAGAATGAAGGTAAATATTTTCCAAAATTAAATATTTTCCAAATTTAGGATATTAAGGAAAATTTGACATGAGTTGGAAAGTTCAATTTAAACCTGAGTTTTCCAGGAGTACATTGGTGAAATGAAGAGTACCTATGATAAAATTTTATTTTTCTACGCACTGTAGAGATGGTCAGGTTCTTTGTGGATTATTTTTTTCTATTTTATTTATTTATTTTTTTAAGTAGCTTTTTTTTTTTTTTTTAAAGATTTATTTATTTATTTATACAAGCACTGGGTACAGTCAGAAGCGCGGGAGGGTGAGAGAATTCACCAGAGCCAGAACAGGGAGCAGAGCAGGCAGAAGACCGAAATACACTGCTGAGGGGAGCAGCGGGTGGCAGGAGAGGACTGCGTGCCATTTGGGACCCTCCTCTGGTGGCCGGGGAGCAGCCGGAAATCGAACTAGCGCTGCAGAGGCTGCAGGCAGCTCGCAACCCAGCGCTCAACCGCTGAGGCACCGGGGAGGCCCTATTTTTTTCTATTTTATTTTTCTTTCCTGTACCCCCTTTTTACTTCAGAATTAAAGTGCCATGTTAGTCATTATATTGTTTTAATTGGAATAATCAAAAACAAACATATCTTTCCTAAGTTTTGAATGGCTAAATGTCATACAAATGTCCAGTAGAAAGGTTGTTATTTTAACTCAAGAGAATTCCACTAAAGCAAAATATCATAGACTACTCATGAATATATGAATATGAATACCTATCTTTTTCATTTAAAGCTTTGATCTTATCCAACTGCTATCTAAATGTTTGTTTTTTTATGAGTTTAAATTGTCTTCTCTCCACAGAATCAAGTCACGGATACTAATAGAAAACTCCAACATGAGGGAAAGGAAGTAAGGCCAGTTTACCTTTTGAAAATCTTTTCTGTTTCCAGTTATTTTCTTTTGATGACTGCATTCTTCATTTAGTGACTTTAAGACCATGAAAGTTTGTTGGAGGAACTTGGACATTATTGTTGCTTCTCCTAATATATATCTACATTTAATGAATATAGCCACTAGAACACTTAATGAGAGTGGATGTAGCCTTCCATAGCTATGTTTTAAATCACCTAGGTAGTCATAGAATGACCAGTATTGTTCCGTCTTTCTGGGATGGTCTTTCCCCAATATTTACCTATTTCAGATCCTTAATGAGGTCTTTTCTAACTACCTTATTTGAAATCACAGTCTCACTCTTACCCCTTGCATTCTTTTTTATCTTCCTGCTTGATTTTTCTTCATTGTGACTTTCATTCTCTGATTAAGATTTTTATCTATATATTTGGTTTTGTTTCCCTCCATTAGAAATAAAGCTCCACGAAGTCAGGAATTTTGACTTATTTTATTCATTGCTTTATCCTCTCTTCTTGCCTAAACAGTGATTGGCATTAAGTGGGTGCTCTCTAAGTATCTATTAAAAAAAAATGAATCATTGATTCTATTAATGAAGAAATTTGCCATTTAAACCATCACAGTTTACAAGATTATTTTACATCCATTTTTAAAACTTGATCCTCATAGTGGAGCTATGACAATGTCAGACAGATGTTATTAGTATTTTTTTAATGAGGAAACTAAAACAGAGGATGGTTGCCTAAGTTACTTAGTAATTTGCAAAGTTGGGACTGAAACACACATTTTCTGACTTATAGTCCATTACTGTTATAGTCCATTACTGTTCCCTGTATCATTCATTTTCTTTTCAACTAACACGTAATTATGCTTAATTTAAAAAAAATTTAAAATTAGCTTTTGATTGTTTTATTAGTGGCTTAATCAGGGCCATTCTCTTTTGTTCCTTTTTTCCTGGTATCTAAGCAAATTACATTTTCAGGTATGGGTATGGGATAATCTACTGCTATGCAGAGTATTGTTTTTTGTCTTACCTATTTTAAATTAAGTAGAGAATATAGTTTCTTCTACTTATATTGTGATATGACTTCAGTTGGAAGCCTTTAAAACAGCTTTGGGAAGAAAAGTGAGTTATTCACTGCTAAGCTGGAACTCTTGGAAAAGCCATAACTTCTAAGTCTGTGGTGTATTTGTTGAAATAAAGATTTAGCTGAAGATTATTTTCAAGACTCTTGAAGTCTAGCACTGATGAAAAAAATATAGAATCTTCTCAGAAGATTGATGAAACCATAAATCATGGAGAGTCTGAGGATTTGGAGAAAATCTGTATTTTTTTCTTTTCTCCTGTATAGTCCATGAATTTTAGGATTTCATTTTACTTAGCCTTTCCTAGTATAGAATGTATCTTGGGGAGAAAATGGGAAACCATGCAGGAGTGTTTTACTGGTTGAGAAAAGAAAAGTAGTTCCTTAGTCCACTTGGTAGGTCTTACAGTGAAACTGGAACTTTCTGATGAATTGAACATAAGGTGGAAAAATGTGACAGAAAGCTTTTTATTTACAGCTGTTGGCATAATTCAGTTTTTTTCCCTCTTGCCAAGCTGGTATTAGCAATGGAAGAGCTGAAGCAGTGTCGACTACAACAGAGAAATATTTCTGCCACCGTTGATAAATTAATGCTGTGTCTTCCAGGTGAGGAAGTGGAAATGGAGTAGAATTCTTGATGAAATTCCTTTAGCTTTACTTTGTCTTTCAATTTCTCTAAATGCTTTTGTGTTCTTTTTCCTCATTCTCTTTCAAGTCCTGGAGATGTATAGCAAACTAAGGGACCAGATGAAAACTAAAAGGTAAGATTTTCTACCACATAGTTTTTATTATCTAAAATTTCTGTTACTTAGAATATTTTTAGAGTCCATATTTAGTATAATCTTTCAAAAAATAATTGAGTTCACATTACATCTTCTCTAGCATTTTGTATCTCTTTATTGATTTATCCTGAGCTTTACTCACATATACTAATGGCATGTTGATGCATTTTGTCATGTATTATGTTTAATAAAAATTGCTACTCAACAGTTTTATTTATAGAAGTCTCAGTCTTTTAGTAAAAAAAGCATATAACTGTCAATATTTTAATGATACTTCATTTGAGAAACATGCTTTGGTTTAGTATTGTAAAGAAAAAGTAGTGGTTCTGGTGTAGGGGTGAACCAGTCAGGGTTCTTCATTGAAACATAACTGTGTGTGTGTGTGTGTTTGTGTGTGTGTGTGTTTAGAGATAAATGATTTATTTTGAGGAATTGGCTCACTCGATTATGAAGACTGTTAAATCCAAAATCTGCAGAGTAGGCTATTAGGCTAGACTGTCAGGGAGGAGTAAATATTATAACCTGAATCTAAAGACAGTCAGCTGGCAGAATTCCCACTTCCTTCAGGAAGGTCAGTCTTTTTTCTGTTAAGGCCTTGAATTGATTGAATGAAGCCCACCTACATTTTGGAGGTTAATATTTTTTACTCACAGTCTACTGATTTAAGTGTTAGTAGTCTCATTGAAAAATGCCTTCACAGGAATACCTAGAATAATATCTAGGTACTGGGACCTCTTAGCTACATTAACACACAAACTTAACTGTCATAAGGAACAATATCAAGGTTAAGTTCAGTGAATTCCTCGCCTGTGTTTTTTTTTTTTTTCCCTCTGGTTTTATTTCAGAGGAAACTGGTGACTTTTTGGCTTTCTTCCCCAAACTAGAGTAAGCATACCCATTCTCTGTCTTAGGGTATCCTGCAGGATGATGGGAATACGTGAAGCTGTACAATAAACAGGGCACATCTTCCTGGAATGTTAATTTTACCTAGGTATTGAGGGAAAAAGTCTGAAATTAAAATGTGTTAAATATTGAGGTAATAATAGAAATGTTATGAATAAAAATTCTAAATTCTCAAGAAATTTGATGCTAAGATGTGAGGCATGAACATTTAGAAAAATTTCTTAGGATTATTTCCCAGACTCCCTTTTCTTCAAAAGATATGTTTAAATCAGATACAATAGGTAGAATGATATGAGTTCTACTCAATGAGATATGAAAGTAATTTTATTTCTATGATAACCTTTTTGTAAAGTTCCAAAATTACAGAAAATTCTAGAGAATAAAAAGCACTTGTATCCCAACTACTCTGATTTAATGGATATTCATTTCCTAGTTTTTTTTTTTTTTTTTTTTAGATTTATTTATTTATTTAACTTATTTATTTATTCGTTTATGCAAGCACTGGGTACAGTCAGAAGCGCGGGAGGGTGAGAGAATTCACCAGAGCCAGAGCGGGGAGCAGAGCAGGCAGAAGGACCGAGGCACACTGCTGAGGGGAGCAGCGGGCGGCAGGGGAGGTCTGCACGCCATGTGGGACCCTCCTCCGGTGGCCGGGGAGCAGCCGGGGATTGAACCAGCGCCGTGGAGGCCGCGGGCAGCTTCGCAACCCAGCGCTCAACTGCTGCGCCACCAGGGGAGGCCCCATTTCCTAGTTTTTTGATTCCTATATCTATATATGAATTTTTCTATTTATTAAATAAAAGAAGACATTCACTACCATCCATTATACCCTCTACCTCTCCCATCCTTTTCACCTCTGACAATCATTTTGATTTTCATTGTTCACTAATTTTTATATTTTGTTTTGTCCATTTGCTCATTTTTTAAAATATCACACATATAGGTGAAATTGAATATTTATCATTCTGAGTGTTTTACTTTGTACAACCCCTTCAAGTTCCTTTCATTTTGCTGCAAATGGCAAAATTTCATCTTTCCTTATAGCAGAATAGTATTCTAATGTATATATATGTACCACATCTTCTTTATCCAGTTATTTAATTGGGAACATACTTTGTGTCCATATTTTAGCTATTTTAAATGCTGTTACAGTAAATGTTGTGGCACATATAACTCTCTCTCTCTTTTTTAAAGATTTAAAAAAAAATTATTTATACAAGAGCTGGGGTACAGGCCAGAGGCACAGGAGGGTGAGAGGATTCACCAGAGACAGAGTGGGGAACAGAACAGGCAGACTGACTGAAATACACTGCTGAGGGGAGCAGTGGGTGAGACAGGAGAGGTCTGCCGCTCCATATGGATATCTCCCTGGCCAGCCGGGAATCAAACCCGTGCAGCAGAGGCTTCGGACAGCTTCACAATAATGCTCTCAACCCGCTGCGCCACTGGGGAGGTCCTCACGTATAACTCTTTGACTTGATAATTTTATATTATATGTATAGATACCCAGAAATGGGATTGCTGGATGACATAGCAATTCTATTTTTAGTTTGTGAATAAGGTCCATACTGCTTTCCAAAATGGCTGCACCGATCTACATTCTCACCAGCAGTGAAAAAGGCTTCCTTTTTCTCCATATCCTAACACTTGTTAGCAGTCTTTTTTTTTTTTTTTAATTGAGATAACATTGGTAATAACAGTTAGTGGTCTGCCATCAGTAAACCATTCTCACAAGTGTTAGGTGATATCTAATTGTAGTTATGATTTGCATTTTCTTATTAAGTGATGATGAACACTTTCATGTTTGTTGGCCATCTATATACCCTTTTGGAAAAATGTCTATTCAGATATTCTGCCCATTTTTTATTGTTTTTTTTTTTAATTCTTAAATATGATGAGTTTTTTTAATTCACCTTGGTTAATAACCCCTTATTAAATGTGTGATCAAACTTAATTGGTTTTTGCCAATCTAATAATTGTGAAATGATAGATAATTTTTATTTCTTGGGTTAGGATTGGTTTTTGGACATTTGAATTTTCTTTCATATATTTTACCCTGTGACATGTTCTGTCCTGCCTGAATGACACTCCATTCCAGGCTGCCTTTCTCAAGAATATCTTCCTTATTTTACTTAATCTGTGGTCTCTCCTGCTGTCTAGTTCTTCTGCCCTGCCCCAACCAATGTGGACACTCTCTTATTTAGGTGTTCTTCAGTTTTTTTAAGTAATGTTTATAGTTTTCATATTTATTCCAAAATTGTTCATTATTTTATACTTTTTTAAATGAAAAATTTCAATTTCTAGTCATTTATTACTAGCGTATTAAGTTTTGTATATTTAGCTTGTATTTGGAAATCTTGCTTAAGTCGTTTATTTATTCCAGTATGGTTTTTGTATATTCCATTGATTTTCTATTAGATGCTGTCTTATCTGCATGTCAGACAGTTATATTTCTTTTTTTCCAATTGGATGCTTTCTTTTTGGCTTGTTTTTCTTGTCTTATTGAATTGACCTACAACTGTTGAATTGAAGTAGTGAATAGGAGTGGTGAGAGTGAATATCCTTGCCCTGTTCTTTGATCTTAGGGGGAAAGTATTTACCATTAAGTGAGATGTTAGGTTTGAATTTTTTGCACAAGCTATTTATAAGTTTGAAGGTTTTTCCTTCTTTTTCCAGTTGTTGAAAGTGTCTATTAGGAATGAATATTGTTTTTTTCTAATGCTTTTTTCCCATGTCAGTTGACATTATTATATATTTTTAATTTACTTTTTAATCTATTATTTGGATGAATTATGTTGATTGATTATTGAGTGTTAAGCCAAACTTATATTCATGTAATAAATCCCACTTGGTCTTGGTATATTACCTTTTTTATATGACTTAGAATATGATTTGTTAACTTTTTTGTTAAAGATTTTTATATCTTTGTTCATAAGGAATATTGGTTCATAGTTTTTTTGTAATGTCTTTGATTTTGATATCAGATTAAATGCAGGTCTCAAAGACTGAGTTGGAAAGTATTTTCCCTTTGATTTTATTTTATGGAAGAATTTGTAGTGTTGACCTAATCTTCCTTAAATATTTGGTAAAATCTACCAATGGTGGCTCTTGCACTGGGAGATTTGTTTCTTTCTTAGGATAAGATTTTCAACTGCAAATTTTTTTTTAATTTATTTATTTATTTTTCTTTTAAGTATTTTTTACATCATTTTTCATTTTTGTAGGTTCCATCATTCTATTTTTTTTTATAATAAATTTTATTTTTATATTCCCCCATACAATTGCAAACACCCCATTCTGACCCCAATCCTTCCCCTCCCGCCCCCCACCCCCCAAAAAGTGTCTCTGGTTCATAGTTTTTTGTTGATTTTGATTTTCACTTTCTTATATTCATTTTCCTGGTCCCTTATTTAAGTTTTCTAGATTCCTGCTATGAGTGAGACCATCCGGTATTTTTCTTTTTCTTTTTGGCTTATTTCGCTGAGCATGATCCCTTCCAGCGCCATCCATGTTGCTGCAAATTGCATGTGTTTATCTTTTTTGAATGCTGAGTAATATTCCATGGTGTATATGTACCACATCTTCTTGATCCAGTCATCTATTTTTGGGCATTTGGGTTGTTTCCAAAGCTTAGCTATTGTAAACAGTGCTGCTATAAACATAGGGGTGCAGGTGCTCTTTGGAATTGATGTTTCTTCAACTGCAAATTTAATTCAAAAAATAAATACAGGACTGTGTGCATTTTGTATTTCTTGAGTAAAATTTTGCTTATTTGTGTTTGTCAAGTAATTTGTCTCTTTCATTCAAGTTGTTGAATTTCTTAACAAAAATGTTCACAAAATTCCATATTTTATTTTATTTTATGATTCCTTATTATTTTAATGTGTGCTTTCTTTTTTTTTTTTTAAGATTTATTTATTTGTGCATACAAGAGCTGGGGTACAGACCAGAGACATAGGGGGTGAGAGGACTCACCAGAGACAGAGTGGGGAACAGAACAGGCAGATGTACTGAAATACATTGCTGAGGGGAGCAGTGGGCGAGTCAGGAGAGGTCTGCTGAGCCATGTGGGTTGC